TGCTAACACTTAAAGCATAAGAGACGGCTAAAACAGACACAATGTTGGGCCCCAACTCAAAGGGAACAGGATAAACTGGTAACAAACTGTCAATTATTTTACAGACTGTATTATCCTTGCTTATATGAAAGGGTATCATTCTGCTCAAAATTAATTAACAACTGTATTAATTATTCCATAAATCTGAAAGGTTTTAATAATTCTCTAAAAACATTTTGGCAACTAGGAATTTTTGCTACAATCCTTACAAAATGCTGGCTATTCATTTATAAAACTGAAACTGATTCTATTGCTTCCAAGTTTAGCTACCATATCTAGGAGTGTTTTCAATCACCCTGAAATGTCACATCCAGCACTTAGATCAGGTGTTCTTTTTGAACGGAGTACATGTTAAGACTCTGGACATCTGCTGACACTGCTGTAACCCAAACATGTCAACTGCCTCCCTGACAGGGATGACAGATGCTGACATTATCAAACGCTGTACTATTTTTTCCCATGGCCTCTCCTTGCCCTGATATGGCCAGTACATGAAACTGAACTATCCAAAAGCACACTTGAGCAACTGCATCTGCTGAATGGCTGCCATGTAACTACTAAAAATAGAACCAGGCTAGTGCTATCTTCAGCATTCAAGTTCAGGCAGTTGAACACCTATTTCACTATTATGAAAAATGATGGAAAGAATTAAAATTGCATTAATTTCACCAGTAGCATAATACCCGAGAACCTACACAAGCAGAAAACCATATGCAACTACTTGCATATTGTCTTACCTTGTGTCACGTTTCTCCCAGGTTAGACAATAAATTAATGTGATAATACTTCACTCAGCATTCTTATTTCACAAACTATCATTTATCAGACTTTTATCTCAAGAGTACATTTCAGAAGACATCCTCCTCAGGCAAGAAATCTACAGCAGAACCACATTGTAACAAGCATTTAAGTGATGCTTTTAAACATATGTGGTAGACTTTAATACTCCAAATTCATGGATTAGCTAACTACCACATGCCAATGTAACACTAACCTTATAATAAGAACTAAACATCCTATACTCAAAAAGCACAGAATTTAGTTAAGAAAATAGATCTTTAAGTAGGCTAAATTATGAACTCAAGGTTAGTATGCCAACACAAGCAAAAGCAAAGAATGACATTGAAGACATGTGTGAACTATTTATAAACTAAAGGACAGAGGTATTTCCTTAAGGCTACTCATATCTCTCCATCCCTGTCAGCAACTTGCTTAACAACTTGGCTTGGCAGGCTGGATGTGGTGGCACACAACTTTAATCCCAGCACTCAGGAGGCAGGAGTGGGTGGATCTCTGTTTGAGGCCAGTCTGGTCTACAGAGTGACATTCAAGATGATCAGGGCTACAGAGAGATACTGTCTCAAAACAAAGAAGAAAAGAAGAAAAAGAAAGAAGAGATAAAGGAACCTGCTGGGAGATAAACTGGAAACATTCTGATATGCATTAGATATCTGTTCTTTCTAAAGGATGTTGGTTTTCCAAGAGGTTATTTATGTGCACTTAAGAATTAAGTAGCCGATTGTGGTGGCTCACACCAGCAGGATTTGCTGAAGGTGGCAGAGGCAGGAGGATCATGAGTTCCAGGCCAGGCCAGCCTGGGCTACACATTAAAAAGGGAAAAAAAAAAAATTAAGTAAAGATACACTTTAACTCGTTGAAGGGAAAAGACTCCCGAGTGAGTTACAAGAGTACCAAGTAGTAGGACATGTATGTACAAGTGGGAATTTTACTTCTGGCAACTGGCACACCAGTATAGGAAGGACTTCTAACATTTGTCATGTTGAATTTCTATAAAAGAGCATTTAACCAATTTGGTTCCTAAACTAGCAGTGATAATGCTTTGCTAAAGCTGGTAAAATGGAACCAAATCGCCTCTTCAATGGATTTGGTCCCCTTCAACCAGCTGTAGCTATGCATTGATTACCACAGGACAGCCAGCGTTTCATCTGTGAATATGAACTACATGGCAACTACTTCAGCTTATTGATTTATTCTGACTGTAATTAAAAGCAAATAACTAGCTACTGTCAATTTTATTTGGAAGCACTATAGTGATTAAAGATGTTTATTAAAAGCTTTATGGAAAAAAAAGTGTGTTAAAAGGATTTCAAATAAACTTATTTATTTGTGGTCGTTGGTATTAACTTTTCATTTGAATTAATAAAATTTTAAAACTATTACAAAAGCATTGCAAAATTTAATAATTACATTTCTCATTCGTCTGAAAGTAAGAAAATGTCTATTGTACTACCTAATGAACTTCCTGAAAAGGAAGAAAATATGTGAGAAATTCATCAAAACTCACCTTAAAAACATGATGAGACTATGACGGTATGTTTCATATGGGTATGCAGATGTTGAGTTATTTATATAATTCTTAAAAAGCATGTGTATTTCTATCTGTGCAGGGGCATGTACACAAGAGTGAGATGCCCTTACAGGGTAGAAGGATCAGATTCCCCCCATGGAGTTACCTGACATGGGTTCCAGAAACTAAATTCACGTCCTCTGAAAGCAATATACGCTCATAAATGTTGAGCCATCTCTCCAGGGCATGGTATACAAGTTTAAAATTACAGAAAACTGTAATAATATTTAGCACTCAGAAATGGAGTCATTATCTTCAATAGCACTAGCCTTCAAGCTTGCCACTATTTACCCGAGTGTTAGCATAATACTGCAGAATGCTGTCTCAGGGACAGACTTTAACAATAAACATCGAATTATTCTGCCCCTGAACCTGAAGCAAAGGTTTCTAATGTTCGAAACAAAGAAAATGCTAAAACACTACTACTTATTATTTAAAACATTACTACTTATTATTGTGAAGACTTTCAACTCTGCAGCCTTGTTCCTCACCTGGCCACAAGTCTCAGACTTAACTCTAGGGGGAAACATGGCTATAAACATAAAATATCTGGCTGGAAATGCAGCTCCCAGGTGCTTGTACATACAAGTCCTGGGTTCAATCTACAGCACTACCAACACATAAACAAAAACAAACACATCAAATATTAGAAAACATGACCAGTATTATTCTGATTTAAAATTCTTAAGCCCACAGATCAGTTTTGAAATTTTATGATCTGTACTCATCTGCACCTTCAAGTCCAGATCTCAAAGCACATCTTCCATAAACATAAGGCCCCTACACATATATTGAAGACCAGGATAATAAAAGTTTTCCTTCAGAAAAATCACATCCAATAATTATCAATTCTACCATGTTGCTGATGCACTGCTGAAAAATTACTGTTATTAACTAAAAGTAAAGCCGGGGAGTAGAACAGCATCAGCTTCTACATACACACATATAAGTGTACATGCAAATTTTGGAAATGTCCCACATTTTCAATCATTAAAAAGGGAATTACAAGCAAATACTTGTCCCAATACTAGCTTATACAATGTTATTAAAAACAAAAACAAGAAAAAAACCTAACAGGGAAAATGTGCAAACATTCTAAAAAGTACCCAAGAATTGTGCTAACTAAAGAGCACTAGTTACAATTACAATAGGACAGAAGTCCAGCATGCAATCAGTCATACTAAATAACAGCAGCCAGCAAAACAAAAAGCGGCTAAAACATTACAATATAGACAGTGGCCACATTAACAAGAGAGACTAAACAGACAAGAGGAAAGTGTTAGCAAGTCTATTAACATTGATATTTAATCTAAAAGAGGAAAATTTTTAGCATTTGGAAATAACAATGTGCCGTATCTGCTTTTCTAAGGAAAGGTAAAGACCCAAAGTCTACAAAGAAAATATAACTATAATAAAATATTTGATATGAAAAAACTCTCAAAACACCCAACATGCTATTACAATCGACACATGTTTAAATAACCATTACTGTCTTCAAATCTGTATATGGCAATCAAGAGTCATGACTGCCCAACAATTTAAAAAAATGGAATAAAGGATTCAGCTAGCTTTAACCAAAGCCGTCTTGTTATATAATTAGCGCATTCCCCCTCCCCTTTTTAAAAAATATTTATGTGATGCATGCAGGTATATGTGTGCCTCGGCAAACATGTAGAGGTCTGAGGACAACTTGCATGAGTCAGTTCATTCTCTCCTTCCATAACTGGGTTCTGGGGACTGAACTCAGGTTGTCATGCAACAAGCACCTTTACCCACCGAGCCATCTCTCCAGCTCCTTTCCTGTCTTTACTAAATGTCATCTAATACAAATTAGCTGGTTGAAGGAGTCACTATTACATATTTTCTAAAGAATCCTCAAGAATTACACAAGAATTCAAGACACAGAAGAAAAACATTCCTCCTCCTCAATATGCTTAATTTATTAACTATACTATAATCACATCTAATGAAAACGAAACAATTAAAAATACTTAAGACAGCAGTTTTCTATACCCTTCAAACCTCTAGTTTGTATCAAACTTTATGATCTTACAGTACAGCTTAAATTCCCTCAAAAATCTTCTTGACCACTTAATCTGATTGCTCCATCTGAACACCTCCAGTTTTCCTACAGAATTCATTCTGTAATTAATCATACATTATCTCTTGAAGTCTTGTAGCTCCTGTCCTGCTAAGACTAATTTGTGTGGAGGACATAAGCATAGATAAGAACACCCACAGTCTTACAGGAAATGCACACACTGGACAGGCAGCACCAAGCAGACCATGCACATGAGTAACACACCAAACAGAACTTTGCTGACAAAAGGAAGCAGCTGCACAGGAAAGAAAGAGAAGTTGACTGAGACACCCTCATGAAAGAAAGTGTTTGAGAATCTGGAGGAAGAGAACAGACAGCCTACTTTAGGAAGGAAAACAGTGTAATAATAATAATAATAATAATAATACGTAGCTGAAGATGATGGGAGATAAAGTCAGAGGGAAGGGCTCTGGACACTCAGCCTGGGATACTACAGAAAACAGAAAGACATTTTTAAACAGCACCTAAAGCAGAACAAAAAGACACTTTTACCTGGGATTTCCTCTAAGCGCAGCATGATGCAGGGCATTGAACCCATTGTTGTTCGTGATGGTCACATCTGCTCCAGCTTCCAAAAGAACTGCCAGGATGTCATCGCGCTTCTTACTTATGGCATCATGCAGAGGGGTGTCACCTTCAGAATCCTTTTAGTTTTTTTTTTAAGTTTAAAGAGATTTTCATTAGTTTTCCTTCCACTGATCACATCAACAGGGGGATTTTCACTTAACTTCTTTCTAAACAAAGAAGCAGGCTCTATATCAATCAAACAACTATCAGTCAGCAACCATGCTCAGAGTCCTTGCTGGCTTGCTGTAGAGATGGGGATGGTGGTGGTTTTTGAGACAGATTCCTACAATGCAGCTGGAGCTGACCTTAAACTGCCCTTATAGTTAAGGCTGGCTTTGAACTCCTAATTCTCCTGCCACTACTTTCTGAGTGCTGGGATGACAGGAATGTGCTAACACATCCAACTTCATATTCTATTAAATATAAAATGCAGACAAAAAAATGTCAGGGCTGGAGATGTGTCTTCGCTGGAGAGCCCTTGCCTAGCATGCACAAAGGCCTGGGCTCTACTCTGGCATCACATGAGACTGCCATGACAGTAAACACCTGTGACCCTGGCACTTGGGAGATGAAGGCACAAAGACAGTAGTTCAACTCATTATTGTCTACAATGTGAGTTCAAAGGCAGCCTGGGCTTCAAGACACCCAGCCTCGAATATTAAAACAACCTACAGAAGCAGACTTAGGCCCCAGAACAATGAGTTTAAAGCTAGTGAGTGGATTTTGGCCTTAACACACAAGTACCAACAATTCGTCTGTTTCCTTTATATTAATATAATATGCAGCATTGGTAAAATTCAACAACCAAAGTGTTTTTTCAAGGGGCAGGAAAGTGGCTACTTAGTTCAAAGTAGAAAGCACATCTAACCCAAACCTACATTTTATAAATCTGCTTTTTAAAAAAAATTGTATCTCTGTGTATAGGGTATGGAGTGTATGGTGAAGGAAACATGCAGGTGTGCACTCACGCACACATCCACGGAGTCCAGAGAATGACTTCAGGCATCTTCCTCCATTCTCCCACTTAATTTCTTTAAGGCAGGGTCCCTGACTAAATAAGAAGTTTCCTGTTTCAGCTGGGTTGTCTGGCCAGTAAGCTTTGGGACCCACTTGTCTCCATCAACGCAATGCTGGGGTTTCAGGCAGGTGTAACCATGACCAGCTTTTGGTGTGGATGGTAAATATCTGAACTCATGTCCGATTGCTTGAGTAAGTGCTCTTATTCACTGAGCTGTCTCTCCAGTTCCTCAAGCCACCTTTTTTTGGAGGTATTTGTCATTCATCAATTTACTTGGCAATAAATTCTAATTCAATATTAACTGTCTGCATAAATAAATTATTTAGAGCTTATACAATCTGTAGTTTTACAAAGTCAATATAGCCTATCCTCTACCATATACCACAGTTGTCAGATCCAGCTTTCCACCTGGGATGGAGATGTCATTTTGTAAAATGTTTCTCTTATTGGTTAATGAATAAAGCACTGTTGGCAAATATGAAGGCAAGATAGGCGGGACTAGGAAACAAGGAGGACTCTGGGAGATGTAGTAGGAAGAGTCACAATGTAGGACTTGAGAGAAGATAGTCCGGACCATCTAAGTGTGAAAACACTTAGATTAATAAAAAATGGGTTAATATTTAAGATAAGAACTAGCAAATAAGAAATGCTAGCAACAGGCCAAAGGCTTTATATCTAATACAGGGTCTCTGTATGTTATTTGGGGCTGGTGCGGCTGTGGGACCAGGCTGGCAGGAAAACTACTTGTAACAAAAACGGTGCCCAAGTGGGGCTAAGAACTTCCACTTAAAACTTAACAAAAGATTTAAGGATTTTAAAAACAAAATAACAGAAACAAGTCTTTTTGGTAGCAGCCTTTTTCTCGGTTGTGCTCTGTATTGCTAGAGACAAGCAGAGATTTGTGTGGCTCCTTTAAGGGAAGTTTCCTGACTCGACATTAAGAGGCAAATACTGCTAACAACTTAGTAATGTGTACGAGAGGTGGCAATGGCTGTGACCACATCTCAAAGCCAGCAACATGCTGCCGGATGGCAGCGTAGACCAAGGTGGTGAGCACATCTTTCAGTGCTGGTGGTAAGTGTACCCCCGCCATCTTGAATAGACTGTGGCTAAAACAGCCGTGGCTTTCATTTTAGAAATGTTGTTTAGCAGATAAAAAACTCATGGCCAAAAAAAAAGATAAAGTTTTACATAAAGACAGATTAAGAAAAGCCTCTAAAGGTTTACAGTGTGTTTAAAAATATACATAGGCTTGGGAGAGAAAAAGAAACAAAATAAAGTAGTTTCTTTAAAGAGAGAGAGAGAGAGAGAGAGAGATAGAGAGAGAGAAGCTGGGTGTGGTGGCACACGCTTTTAATTCTAGCACTCGAGAGACAGAGGCAAGCAGATCTCTGTTATTTCAAAGCAAACCTGGTTCACAGAGTTAATTCCAGGGCAGCCAAAGTTACACAGAGAAACCCTGTCTCAAAGAAATGAATAAATAGAAGTAGAAGAAATAGAGTAATAAGAAAGCCACATGAAGATGGAAAGCACACAGAGAGTCTGGAGACTGTATGCTACTGTGTTGTCTTTGTACTGCTCAATTGCTAAGGAAAAAACAACTAAAATATACTTGATTATCAATGCTTCTAAATTAATCCAATCTATATATTTTAAAACTGCTTTGACTTCAAAATTTAAGTTTAAGGACAGGTTACTGGGAGGAAGAATTTCTATTTTTCTTTCCACAGAAAATGAAAAGTGTGGAATCCTTCCAGACTAACATAGTTTGATTAAGCAAGACCCCCTGAAGCAGTGTCCCAGGTGATCCAACATTCAAAACAGGTGGGACAAGGCAGCCTTGTAGACCACTACAGCCAGGATTTCTGCATCTGCTTAGTATCCCCAATACAGTACTCCCTACCAGCAGGAAGCAGTTTGGAAAGAATGACGGCCAAATTCCCAAATATTGTTTATAAATGTTTGTTTTCATTTACATGGGGGTTGGTTATAAATGGTTAATGATCACAACCAATTTTTTTAAGGTAAAAAGGGGATTATGGTATAGAAATGAATAGTTTGTTTTGGAATGTATTTTCATTTATTGATACAATTTAAGGTCAATTTTGTGATATGTATATTTCTCCTCTTGTTTAGATACTATGTTTATATAGCTCATTAAAAAATATAATGTATAATTAAGTACAAACTATAGATAGTTACCTATAATAGTCAAAACTTATAGTTAGGTTTGTTAGGTTTTTATAGATATGTAGAGATATATTTCAAATGGATAGGTATTAGTCAAACCTTTCAAAGACCTACAAAATATGACATTTAAAATGGTTTAGGGTTTTTCTTGACAATGAGGCACAACTGCTCCTGGCAACACCACCTGCTTCAGAAAGGAAGATGGACATAGAAAAAACTCATTATGGAGTTTATTTCCAATATGGCAAGACTAGCCATTTGGGCAAGATATTGCTCTTCTTGTCTGGACTGTTTGACTTTATGCTGTATAAATTGGACATGTAGGACCCACAGAAAAGTGACTGCTGAAACAAGATGGACATTGCTATAGGGTTCCTGCTTCATGGAAGAGTCTGCCAAACAGTCTGCAGGACACAGAGAAAAGTAACTGACAAACTCTCAATACAGATGGACAGTTTAAAGTTTCCTGCTTTGCTGAGGAATCTGCCAGACACACTATGGCCTATGGGCTGATGATGGAACATTACAGAAGAACTTCAGGTGACTGACCAGGTGAGTTATCTCTGTCATTTCTAGAGTTTATATATTATCCTTCTGTGGTCTTTGATGGAGCTGAAGACTGATAGGTATGGTTATAGTTTTTCCTTAGTTAGGATTAAAGATAAGTCACATATAAGACTTTCGAATCACAAAGATAGGACAGATGATAGAATATTTACTTTAAATCTTGCTAAATGTTAATGGACTAAATATTGTTAACAATAGTTCTTATTTGATAACTGTTTTAATACATATTTTACTATATTAAAGGTAAAACCCTTTTTATTTTAGACAGAAAAGAGGTGGTGATAGGAGATGTCATCTGTAAATGTTTTTCTTATTGGTTAATGAATAAAGCACTGTTGGCAAATACAAAGCCATGGTGGGACTAGGAGACTAGGAGGACTCTGGGAGATGTAGTAGGAGGGTCAAGATGTAGGACTTGAGAGAAGAAGATCCGGACCCTCTCTCCGATAAGACCATTTGGAAACACTTAGATTAATAGAAATGGGTTAATATTTAAGACAGAGCTAGCCAATAAGAAACATTAGTAAAAGGCCAACAGCTTTATATCTACTACAGAGGTCTCTGTGTGTTATTTGTGGCTGATGCAACTCTGGAACCAGGCTAGAGGGAAAACTTCTCATAACAACTTGTTATTATAATTTAAATCTTATCGGAACATAGCCATAACCATCTACCAATGTATTAGCTATGATTGCCTTATTCTATAATGGCAGAGCTGAATGGTCTTGAAACAAAACACATAAAAACCTACAGAGCCAACCTGGCCCTTTAGAGAAAATGTTTGCCAATCACAGGGACCCACCCACATAAAATATTCCTAACCCAAATTCAACCCAATCACCTACCTTCTTTTTGGTGGCAATAAAAACAACCTTCTACAGATCCCTGCTTTCTAGTCCCCCCAACAGCTATTCCAAAGCACAAGTCTCAACTATGCTTTGTCTACCCCAATTCCAATTCACATTCCCTACATATAACTCTGCCTCCCATTTCAGACAGAAAGATGGGTATATCTAATTTCTTCTCCTTCAATTGATCACCCTCAGTTCTACTTCCATACTCCAATTCTGCCATCTACTTAAGAAGCCACACCCTGGACCTCGTCACATGAGAAAACTTATTTCCTAGTAACCATTTGCTGAGCAGTGCCTGATGCTGCCTTCTGGAGCTGCTGCTCCAACTACTGCACTAGGAACTCCTGTGCTGAGAATCATCCATAGCACAGCTTACGAAGTTCACAGTGATTCCTCCTGTTGTGTTCTAATTATTACTGAGCTTTTAATTTAAAGAAAGTGGTTCTACATATCCAATAGGGTTTCAAGGACCACTTTTATTTAAAAGTAGTAAATATTTCAAGTCTATTTTGTTAAAGATGATCAAGAGAAAGAAAAGCTAAGAAGGAATCTAAACACTGATATACTATGACTATGTGCTATTTGCTTTGCTATGAAGATATGTATTCATTCCAAATTTTAATATTATATGTATACAAAAGAGTATTTAAGGACCAAAATGAACACATTATAGACACAGACTGTATTTTTCTTACATATGTGGTTTAAGTTCATCTAGTTGCTAAATGAGCTTAGAAGAAAATAATTTCATAAGTGAAATTTTTGCTTCAAAAATTAGGCCACTTTCTAACTGTAAATCAACACAATTCATTTTCCAAAACAGACCTAAACAAAGGATGTAGAATAAATTAAGACAATGAAAATATTTAAATAGTTATGAAGTTAGTTATATCAGCCTATATCTTGGGATATTCTTCATAATAACAAATTTACTACAGAACTTACTATGTACTTTTAGCAGAGTTCTACTGATGCCCACTCAGTATATTCCTTACAAGTATATCCCTTACCTGGAGACTGGGATGACAGCCAAAGTCCAGCAGCGTCTTTACAACCTGAAGATGGCCTTTATTGACAGCGATATGCAGAGGCGTCTGCCTACGCTTATTACGAGCATTCAGGTCAGCACTGCCTCGGTGTAGGACTTCAATAACAGCACCCTCATCTCCAAAGGCTGCATGGTGAACGGCTCGATCTCCATCTTTATCCTGAACATCAGCACAAAAGCTCAATCAGTATAGAGTTAAGAAAGAAAAGCTGAAGCTATAAAACACCATGAACCAGATTGGATTCAGAAGAATTGTTGGGAAATATAAAAACAGTGAAACTAATAAAACAGCTCTAAATTGTCATGAGCAATAACAAATGATAAAACTAGTGCAGTTACATTATACCGTATTTAACCTGGACCTAAGCCCACTACTACTAGGAGCACTTTACTAAAATCGTGTTGCTAGGGGATCAGACCCAGGGTCTCTCATATAGTTAAGGCACATGCTCTATAGCTTATGCACACCCATATCCTAACAAGGAACCTTTCAGCCAGGCAATGTGGCACCTGCCTTTAATCCCACCACTCCGGAGACAGAGGCAGGAGGATCTCTGTGAGTTCGAAGCCAGCCTGATCTACGAGCAAATGCCAGGACAACTCCAAAGCTACACAGAGAAGCCCTGTCCTTTAAAAAAAAAAAAAAAACAAAGAAACAAACAACCTTTCAGACAAGCTCTCACTATGGAGCCTCAGCTAGCCATGGACACTCCTGCCTCGGTCTCCCAAATCCTGGTATTCCCAATATGCATAACTAAACTAGGCTCAATTCTTTCAATTTACATGAAAACTACACTAGCATCAGTTGAAGTGCTAACAAAAAGTATGCAAAACAATGTGGTCTTAATTACCTTTAAGTAGAAATTATATTATATTAATTAGAGTTAGATCTAAATCCTGAACATTCTTAGTTATGTATATTTGAGGACAGAAAAGAAAAAACTAAATAATGCATAAAAGTATAAAAAATGAAAAATGAACCAGTAAATTCCACACTTCCAAACATCTAAAACTCTTTCAGAGGAAGTAAACTGTACTTGCCATACTGTATATAACAGTCATATTTCTGAAGAGATGAGGTTAACTTTTACATAAAGGTAAGAAACTATAACACTTTGGACCACTTTGGAATTATTTTCTCTGAATTTGTCAAATGCAAATGGACTAGACATTGTTAAATATAATTCTTGCCTGTATACAGTTGTTGTACTTACTACATATAGTTTTACTATGGCAGGTAAAACTTTCGATTATTTAGACAAAAAGGGGGAAATGTGTGATATTTTGTTTGTGTTCTGACAAATAAAGTTGCCTGGAGATCCAAGGATAAAGCTAGTAGTTAACCGTAGGAGCTGGGCAGTGGTGGCACACACCTTTAATGACAGTGCTAGGGGTAGGCAGTGGGAGGGTGGAGACGGGAAGTGATAAGGTGGGGTGGATCTCAGCCTTTGGGACAGAGGAAGGAAACAGGTAGGAAGCAACTGACAATTGCTTCCAGTTCTCTGATCTTCCAGGTTTTTACCATAATATCTGACTCCAGATTTTTTTTAATTGATTAATTGTATTAATGCTACAGAAAAATGTTTGTACTATACAATAAAGGCAATATATATTATGTAACACATATTTACATATAATTAGTTTCATTATATTTGCAGGTGTAGGTATGCACAGGGTACTGTAAGGCTTCTATATTCATGAGAATATGACACTCCAAATGCCAACACCTTATGTAAGCCTATTCAAGCTTTCCTCCAAGTGACTCTCAATCAATACCTAGCAGACTCCCTAGGTTTTATAGAGTTTGAATTATCTTGGTTCCCAAGACCACTTAAACTACTTTTCAAGGATTACAAGGAAATACTGCTGTAATTAAATACATCTAAACAAATGAATGGGTACTAAACAGGCACTGAATTCAAGATAGCTTTTTTGTTGGTTTTTATTTTTTTATTCTGTTTTGAAGTATTTGTGAGTTATTTTTGAAACAGATGTCAAGGGTAATATTTATGTAGGAATGAGGTTCAATAACACTTCTTGAAAAGATAGGAAATTTCTACCTTGTGAATATTTCCAACTGAACCCAACTAAGAGCTTTTGTTACTGGTCAATACTGAGAACAAAGGACTACCAAGCAATCACATACAAGGTTCAACTCTCAGGCTTCTGAGCAACACTCTAGTTACACATTCCAGAAAAACAAGCATATGTGCATGCACACACACACACACACACACACACACACACACACACACACACACACACACACACACACGGAGAGGGAAAGAGAGACAGACAGACAGAGACAGACAGAGATAGGGAGAGACAGAGAAATAATTGATTTTCCTAACCTGTGCATTGAGGAAGAAAAAGAAAGCAATCCTGGGCTCCGTAAGCCATGCCTAGACAAAGCCAACTTGCCAAAATAGCTTTCTGAGCTTTTCAAGTCAAAGAAACAGGAGTGAACTATGTGTGGTCTAGCCCCAGGCAAAGAGCCGCTACTGTGAGTTCTTATGGGGAAGAAGAAAGTATCCATAAATTTTGTTTCTATCTTGAACTATGAGTTATAATTATATTTTAGTTAAATGTGTGGGAGACTGGGTTTTGTGTTGTCTTGTTTTGGATAATAAATGTCCTTTTATTTGCTAACTGCCATTACAACTGCCATTACAACTGATTACATTAGCAAAAATACAATTTTTCTTGAATTGATGTCAAAGGCAACCACTCTTCAAATGTAAAACCAAATATAGCATCAGCAGCAAAATACTGAGCTTATGATTTTATCATTTTGATCTTCTGAACAATTTAATGGAGAAAAATTAGGAAAAATACTATGCTTATCTCCAAGAATGTAAAGATCTATTATTTAGGTTTAAAAACAAAATCAAACCCTAAACTCTGTCTGCAGAGTCTCCTCCCTCCCTTTCCTCTAAATCAACAATCTGACAAGAGTCAGGAAAAAAAAAAAAAAATGCCCTACTCAGTGTTCTGACCAATTACTGAAGGGAAACACAGACAAGGTTTTACCTAGGAAAGCAGAATGCAATGCCTCTGTGGCCAGTAAGTTTCCCAAGCACTTCAACAACTGCTAAAGTTGTTTCTGTCCACGTTGCTACAGTCTGAATACATCTTATCCTTCTCAGAGATTCCAAGAAATTTATTAAATTTAACCTGACACAGAAACATCATTTTTCACACTGCTTTCACAAATTATATAAATCTGCAATAATTTATATAACAAGAAGTACAGCACAAGTCCCCAGATTCTCACTGTCCTAGACTATTCACAACCACTCAACCCACAGCACACAGCTCTAGCTTCAATCTGTGTACAGTATTAACTGACCATTTATTTTATACCTAAATTCAATTAAGCAGGAGAGAAACTTAGGAAACAATTGTCAATGTTATTCCAAACTCCTCGACTACATCCTATTCCACAGGCCACATCCCAGGGACAAGGAGCTCTAGATACACAAATACAAAATAACCCCATGTTGCCAGTACAGACAGAGGCTTTTAATGTTCTTAATTAGGCAAAAAGAAATGTAGCTTCAGACTCTTTGTTTCTTCAGCTCTCTGATTTCAGAAGGGCACTGGTATTTCCCTAGCTGTTACAAATATGGATTCTAGAGTCACTAAATTTAACAGGAGATATTCAACTCAATTTCATTCCATTCACCTAAATCCAACTAAAACGATAACAAAATAAAACTAATTTACAAAACACTAAAATTAACAAGTCTTCTTGTACATACAAAAATAGCTTACTATATATATATATATATATATATATATATATATATATATATATATATATTGGTTTTGTGAAACAAAGTCTTCCTATATAACCCTGGAGGTCCTCAGACTTATAGCAATTCTCCTGCCTCAGTCTCCCAAATGTTGAAATTACAGATATGTGCCACCATATCTGACAAACACACATCTGGATTCCTAAATTCACCATCAAGAAAAATACAACTTTTATATTACTGCAAATGAAAAATCAAGTTATATATTCCATTCATAATAAAAACATAACAGTAAAAATAGCTGTCATGTAATTGGCATCTTTTTCAGCATTAATTTGAACTTTAAGCACCTGGGTTTGGACTTAAGAGCATGTACTACTCTGCAAAGGACCCAGGTTCCATCCTAGTTCCATCAAGCAACCACCAGTAACTCCACTTCAAAGGGATCTAATGCCACCTTCTGACCTCCAAAGATACCTATACTCACATGTACTATTGTGCATGTACATACACACACCTGTACCAGCAAATGTACACTGGCAGACATATAAGCACAAACACATACAGACATCTACACACAAACATATGTGAAAAAAGAATAAAACTTAAAATTCAACCAAGTTCTCTCCATGGGCAACAGAAAATTCCAACATCAAAAATGAACATACCATTAAGCTCTTTAGGTGTCCAGTAACATAAGGTCAGGAAGACTTCCTTTTTAAAAGGTGGAGAGAAGTGGGGGGAGAGATAGAGAGAAAGAGAGAGAGACAGAAAAAGGAAGACAGAGAGAGACTCTAGCAACTGAAGTATTTAACTCCTCCCACAGGAAGAGTTTGGAGGGCAAAACTACTACATATCCTGCATGTCTACACAATCCTGATATCCATTTTGGGGGGATTTTCTTTAATCTGTTGTTGTTTTTGGTTTGCAATGTTACAGTTAACAAAACAAGCTAATATTCCTACATAATGTACAGAACAGGTGTCAGATAAAACTCCAATGACAGTATTTAAGCATATGCACTTGCTGTAGAATATTACTTTACACTGTGTGAACATAGGTTGTTGTGATTGGTTCAATAAACAAGCTGGCTGGCCAATAGCTGAACAGGATACAGTTAACCTGGAAAGCCGAACTGAGGATGATGGGATGAGGAAGGGCGGAATCAGAGGGGAAGCCAGCAGATGCAGAGGAAGCAGGAGATGAATGTGCCATGGTAACAAGGATAGAGACACATAGCAGAATGCAAATAAGACATACAGGTTAACTTAAAATGTAAGAGCCAGTTAGTATCAAGCCTGAGTTATTCGCCAAGTATTTACAATTAAGATAAGCCTCAGAGTAGTTATTTGAGACTGGGCAGTTGGTGCAAGGAATATTTGCTTACATGCACTTGCAGGGATAAAAATGCACTGTAAACACTTCAAAATAAAATAATAAAGAGGTCAAATAAATGACAATTACATTGTAAGTAAAAAGGACCTCTGAGTGTTAGACAGGAAAGACCTTTAATACATTTCTAATAGAAACTGTGGGTGAGCACAGCAGGATTCAACAGTGAAGGAAATGATGTCCAAATTATTGAGGAATCATTAAATGAGAGAGAGAGAGAGAGAGAGAGAGAGAGAGAGAGAAAGCTCTTAACTATTGTTTCTCAATTTTTCATTTGAATCTGGACAACACTAGATGAATATTGAATATCAAGAATGAAATTCTATCTTATATAGAATTATCTCTAGAAAAAGTTTACTTAAAATGTTTTCAATCTTAGTTTACATACCTCTGCCTCTACATCTACATTTTGCTTCAAAAGTAACTTCAAAATATCAACATGTCCATTTTGACTAGCAGCTTGCATAGCTGTGTGGCCAGCACACTGTCCATTTACCTAAAAAAGAAAGGAAAAATTTAACAAATGTCACAAATCAGAAATAGTCAAAACACATATGGATTTTTACACCACATATAGCATATGGTTCTTTGAAATTAATCTGACATTACAAATGTTACAACATTATTGTCACCGACATTAGAATGCGTCTATACACACATGCATGTGGAGGCCATATGTCCAGATCAGGATGTCTGCCTCAACTGCTCACCACCTTTTTTTTTTTTTTAAAGAAAAAGAAAAAAAAAAAAAAAAACAAAAAAAAAAAAAAACAGGGTCTTTTACTGACCCTTGGAGCTTACTGATTCACCTAGGATACCTAGCCAGCATGCTCCAGGGATCTTCCTTTTCCTGCCTCCACAGTGCTGTGATTATAGGTAAACAACAACAACGGCTTGTTGCTTGTGTAACTAACTGTAGGTACTAGGGATCAAATACAGGTCCACAGACCTGGACAACATGCACCCTACTGACTCAGCCATCTTCCCAGTCCCTCGCCCTTTACTTTTCTATTTTGAAAAGTGTTTACTTAGCTTGAATAAATTAACTGCAAATAAAGCATAAGCTATAATATGCAGCCTCAACAGAAATGATTAGAATAAAATAGCTGCTGAGGGAGAAGGTCACTGTTTAACATGGCCACTGCTAGGTTGCCTATGCCAGAGGATGGCACCCACCCATGCCATGCACATGTATGGGCAGAACTACTTGACCTCAAAGTTATTAATAACATTTTCTTTTTAAAGCTACAAAGTTGAGAGGTGGGGTTGAGGGGAATGGGAAGAGTTGAAGGGGGGTAATGATAAAAATATATTGCATAAATGTATACAGTTTCTACACATAAATAAGAATACTATTTTAAAAAAGACCCCAAGGGCTGAGGATACAGTTTAGTACTACAGCACTTGTCTGGCATCCCAACCCTCACAACCATGAACAAAGATTCAGCTATGTTAGCTTTTAAGACTTTTCCTTGCTGTGACAAATACTTGAGAATAACAATTTAAGGAAGGCATGATTCTTTTAATATACATTTCTGGGGGAGGATTTATAGTTTCAGACCATCATGGAGAAAAGGGTGTGAGGGGGCAGAACAACACAGGTCACAAAACTTGGACAGAAAGAGTACACATAAATACATAAAGACACGCAAACTTCATGTATTATAATAGTAAAAACATCCAAAAGTGCCCAAAGCAAGCTACAATGTATCCTAGTGACAACTCCTGAGAGAACCAAAAAACTAAAAAAAAATAAATAAATCAATAGTCTCAAAGCTGTATGTAGAACACCACACACACACACACACCTTGAGCAGGGAGAACAAAGAGGGTACTACAGTACTCTGGTTTCAAGATATACTACAACCATAATAATTAAAGCAGCCAGACACTGACCCTGATATACTACAACCATAATATATACTACACAAGATATACTACAACCATAATAATTAAAGCAGCCAGACACTGACACAGAAACTGATATATATAGAAATAACCCCTTTGGCACTGGAGGCTGAGAATATATACTGGAGAAAAGGCTATTTTCAATAACTACTACTGAAAATACTATCTATCCACATGAAGAATAAAAATAGGCTCATGTTCTTTATCAAGTGAAAGAGCCAATTCTAAAAGGTTTGAAGACTTTGGCCTTTGTTAAATTATTAAACGACTATTTTTGTATTTCCCTCAAAGTTGTTTTTTAAATGCTCACATCCACATCTGGTCTTTTCAGCAAATCTTCCACTTTAGCCACGTCCCCATTGGCAGCAGCCTTAACCAGCTCTTCATTGAGGTCACCAGATTCTTGGGTTTCAAATAATTTCTTCAGAAGCTGTGAGAGTCTTTCTGTAAAGCACAAAACAAACTGCTAACAGAGGAACAGATGTTCTCCATGGGCCTAAAGCTTTTACTGTTTCACTATTTCTACACTATACAGACAACAACCCATGCAAGTAATAAGTCTTAATACCAAGCTACACTAAATTCAACCCAATATTCTAAAATCATGTATTTCAAGTTGTAAATGCAAAACAAGTAAAGAGTGACAGACTTACACATACTAGCATGGAGATCCCACAGTGATACAAATCTTAGTTCTACAGCTCAGACCATACTACACTACAGACCATAGAATACTATGGACCGCATAAAACTCAAAAGAGCAACAGTCATGATTCAGAAACAATGTAACCTCCATGGTGTCTTTGGTGTAGAATATTATTTTAAGGTGTGTCGCTTGCTTATGCTCTGGAACATTTGTTTAATAATGTGGCCAGGAGGGTGGATCAGCAACTAGCTGACAGGAAGCTGTAGAGAGGAGCCAGGTGCAGAAGTTTAGGAGGAAGGAGAGAAAAAGCAGGAGAACTTCTTGGAAGACTTGAAGAGGTGAGCTGCTTGCTATCCAACCTCTCTGGGAAGCAGGGTTCTACCTCAACCTTCGAATCTGGAGTTCTTTGGTGGGACAGATTTAAGTTTTCTTAGTAGCTTTGAAAGAGCCGGTGCCTACAGGAACAGATTCCCTCAGGCTTCAGCTCTTGGGCCTAGCTGCTGCTGGTAGCAGGGGAGTGGCAGCTGCTGAATAGAAGAGCCATAGCTTAAAAGGCAGCAACAATTAAAAAAGAAAGACAAATGTCCGCCCAACGTGGGACTCAGATATCCATCTAGAGCCTGAGAAAGCTTAAAAAAAAAAAAAAGATAACACTCCACCTTGACAGTTTCTGCCAGTCACTGAGCTCTTGAGAATCTAGTATATTAAGCAGAGGAGAAAGAGAAAAAAGAAAAGAAAACGTAAAAGTGCCTGCCATATCACAAACATTGGCATTCCAGCATTCTAGAGCTCTAGGAAGGTTTCTGGTGAGATGAAACTCTGACTAGGACCCAAGCTTTATTTGGGCTTGGCTCTCAGGAACCCAGAAGCAGACAGCCAGCTGAGAGATGTGTAAAGTATCCAGGTATAGCTCGTGAACTCATAAAAACCTAAAAGATATGAACTAAAAGAGGCCCAGATGCAAAAAAAAAAAAAAAAAACCTCTAAACAGGTTCTACTGTGTATTGCGAAGGTTCTTGTCCCGAGAGGTCCCACAGCGCCGCTGCCCCAAATAAACACACAGACACTATATTAATTATTAAACTATTGGCCAAAAGCTAGGGTTTCTTATTGGCTAGCTCTGTCTTAATTATTAACCCATTTCTGCAAATCCATGTATTTCCAGACACAGTCTTGGCTTACCAAAGAATACCTGGACCTGTATCTCCTTTGGCGGCTACATGTCCTCTGCTTCTGGTGGGCCCTCTCCACCTACCTGTCCCAGAATTCTCCTCATCTCCTAGTCCCACCTACCTTCCTGCCTCTTTGGCCAAACAGTGTTTTATTCGTTAACCAACAAGAGAAACATATGCAGAAGGACATCCCCTTATGTACAATGTGCATAAGCATAAGAAAAAAAAAGGGTACAGACAATTAGAAGAAATAGTTTTAAAAAGTAAAGTCTTTTTAAAAGCCTCATAAAGATGGGAGATACACAGGGAGTCTGGATCCTGTACAATATTATGTAAATTTTAAGTTTTTTGATTGCTGAAAAAACAACGGACAGCAGCCAAAAGACCTGGAATTAAAAAAGGGACTGTAGAAATAAACCAGCCTAGATATTTTAAAAATGCCTTAATTTAAAAAAAAAAAAAAATGTTTGTCAAATGGAATTCAAAACTCCTTTGGAGAAGCGGTTTTACTTTTGTTTCCACGGGACTCATCCTGGGTTGATATGGGTCTGGGCTGATGAAGGGTTTGATGAAGGGAGACCTCCTGAAATTTAGCAGATGATATCTGTCAACACAGATTATAACTGGTCTTCCCAGGACTTGGTCATTATCTCAAATTTCTCTTCAGGACCCCTGGGGGATGTCTTTGCCCACAGCCAGCAGGAAGCAGTACAGAAAAGACTATGCCCACGTTCCAAAAAAAAAAAAAAGGGGGGGGGGAGGGGAAAGGGGGCTTTGGTTAACTGGTGGATCATGGATATTTGTTATAAATTAGGGAAATAAGGGAACAGAGGGGGGAAAAGAAACAACTATTAATCCCAGATATTTTGCCTTGGCATGGATTTTGGTATATGAATACAAATTCAAAGTCAATTTTGTTACACTGTATATATGTTCTTGTTCTTGTCTAAAGGACTTTGGCATATTGGTATAAATTTAAGGTAATTTTTGTTATTAACACTGTACGTATGTTTCTATTCTTGTTTAAAGGATTTCTGTATATTGACACCAATTTAAGGTTATGTTTGTTACAATATATTGTATGTATGTTTCTCTCATTTAAGGCGGTTCATTTAAAAATGTAAGGTAAAATTCTAGTTTTTGAAAGCTATTATTATAAGCTATTTGGGATAATAAGCACAAGTCGGTAGTTAGTCGTCTATAACAATCAAATTTGTAGATTGTCAGGCATATATGTTCATATATTTTTTTAGATAGGCAGATAGTCTTCAAATCTTTCAAAGACCTGCAGAATAGAGCATTTTAAATGTTTTTTACCTTAGGACTTTCATGACAATGAGGCAAATCTGCTCCTGGAAGCACCAATTTACTTCAGAGATGATAGGCATTGAAAAAAACTCCTTATGGAATGTGCTTTCATTGTGGCAAGGAAAGCCACTGGGCAAAGACATTTCTCTTTGACCTTTTATAGTGTGTTGTGTTGACTGGACATGTGGAAGTCACAGGAAAGTAACCACTGAACTTTGCCAGAACAAGGCAGGATATTCCTGCTTTACAGAAGAAACTGCCACACATTATACAGAATATAGGAAAGTGATTGACAAACTCCCAATAAAGGCAGGACAATTTTTCAAATTTCTGCTTCACTGATGCACCAATATTGCAAAGGAACTTTGTCATTTCTAACGTTTCTGGAAAACATTTGCAATGCACTTTTGCTTATTTAAATAATATATCCTTCTGGTGCTGTTAATGGAGTTGAAGACTAGATAGTTATAGTTGCACTTTTCTTTAGATATGATAGACAGTAAGTTAGGTATAAAACTTTGAATTCACTAAGATAGGAAAAATAATGCATTATTTTCTCTGAAGTTGTTAACTACAAATTGTCAAAATGTTACAAACTAATTCCTACTTGACAAGTGTTTTTGTTGTATATAGTTTTACTATGTTAAAATTAAAACCTTTCTCTTTTTATTTAGACAAAAAGGGGAGAATGTGGTAGAATATCATTTTAAGGAGTTGTGACTTTTCTTCATGCAGCATTTGTAACTCTGTGAAGCTTTGCCTGTCTAAAACACCTGGTAGTCCATAGAGAGCTGGACGGCCAACACAAGGTATGACCAAGAACAGGTGGGGCTGGCAGACAGAAAGTGTCAACAGGAGGAGAGACAAAGTACAAGAGCAAGCAACTTGATAAGAAGAGGACCTCAGGGGCCAGCCACCCATCCAACTAGGGAGTTAGAAAGAAAGAAAGAACAGAAGAAAGGTAAAAGCAAAGAGGGAAAAGGTAGACAGGTTAATTAAAGTTAAGAAAAGCTAGCTAGCAACAAGCCAACCTAAGGTCAGGCATTCCTAACAATAATAAACGTCTGGGCATGGGGGTTGGGGAGGTGGGGGCGGGTGGTAGGCCCCCCAAAAGCCAAAAATAGTTTTTACAAAAAATTCTACACACGTTGGAAAAAATGCACACCAGGAGCAAATTAATTTTCAGGTGACAATGAACATATAAATGAAAATAGCATGCTTTGTTAAGTACCACTTGTCTGTTTTTCCTAAACAATGTAATTAATACAGGAGATATCAAGTTCTAGCTTGTAATTCTTGGAGTCATTCTGCAAACACAATCAAAAATTGTGGTAAGAGAAAAATCACAAGGAATGCCAAGCCCAATTATTTGAGAGTAGATATTAACTACTCTTCAATTTTTATTTTATTCAATCTTTATTTTATATGTAGCCAAGTTAGCATGTTGTATCTACCCTCAAAAAAGAAATCAACACTACTTGATTTTTTTAAAGATTTATTATATTTGTGTGTGTATGTGTGTGTACACACATACATATATACACGCATAGAGCACTCATACATCAGATGCCACTAGAGTGTTGTGAGACACCATGGGGTTGCTGAAACTTGAACTGAGGTCTCTGGGAGAGCAGCTGGTGCTCTTAACCACTGAGCCACCTCTCTCCAGCCCCAACACAAGGTGTTTTTGGTTTTTTGAGACAGAGTTCCTCTGTGTAATAGTCTTGAATGTCCTGGAACTCACTTTGAGGAACAGGCTGGCCTCGAACTCACTGAAATCCACCTGCCACTGCCTCCCCAGTGCTGGGATTAGAGGTGTGTGACACCATAACTGCCCTGTTGAAATTAAAGGCATGTACCACAACATACAACCCTATGGACTTTTTTTAAAAAGATTTACTTATTATGTCCTGTCAGCATTTATGCCTGCATGCCAGAGGAGGGCATCAGATCCCATTATACATGACTGTGAGTCACCATGCAGGCTGGGGATTGAGCTCAGATCCTCTGGAAAAAACAGCCAGAGCTCTTAACCTCTGAGCCATCATCTCTCCATCCCCTAACACTGCTTTATTTAAGCTATCAGTACACTAGAAAATTTGTAATCGGAACTCAAGGGAGAAAGTAGAAAGCAGTATAAAAATAAACTTCAACTCTTTCTTTTTGGACAAGGTCTTAAATTGCCCAGGCTAGCCTCAAACTCTGATCCTCTTGCCTCTACTTATCAAATAAGACTATAGGCTTGCACCACCATATCTAACAACCTAATATTTTCTTTTGTACATTCCACTTACTATTGTGGCTATGTCTCCCTTATTAGATGGCAAGAGTAGACACATGGTAACTTAAAAACAATGCAGAATAAATCTGGCTGTGTACACAAAGCTGGGGCATATGAAGGAACAATGTTAAGAAAAAGTTTAGCAAAGTACTCAGCAAGTTCACATTTTACCAGTTTCTGATATTATGGAATACACAGTAACTTATTAAATGCTAAAATGCTAAGAAAAATATGACTAATTATACAAATATACAGGAAGAAAACAGGACAGAGGACACCTTTAATTCCAGCACTCGAGAAGCAGAGGCAGGAGAATTATGAGTTCAAGGCCAGCCTGGTTTACAGAGCAAGTGCCAGAATAGGCTCCAAAGCCACATAGAGAAACCCTGTCTTGGGGGGGGGGGGGGGCAGGGAATACGCGCGCGCACACGCACGTGTGTACACACGTACACGTGTACACACACACACACACACACACGCGCGCGCGCGCGAAGAAAAACATTTGCTAGCAATAATGTTGGAAATAAAATGTAAGCTAAGAAAGGTGGGTTTTTTGTTGTTTTTTTTTTTTTTTTTTTTTTTGGCAAAAATGCAAGCTCTGACTAGAGCAAAGAACTGAAGTGTCTAAGAATTTAAGTGTCTCAGATCTGCAGAGAAGCTTGATATGTCCAAGAAAAAGCACAAAATCAGCTAGAATCAAGGTTACTTGATGCACTAAAGGGGAGGGGGAGAAGAAGGGTGGGAGGGGAAGGGAAGAGGAAAGGGATAAGAAAAGAAAAAAGTGTACATACAAGACTATCAGTGCATGGAAACTATTTCTGCTGTTGTTGTTTATTTGTTTGCTTTTCAAGTCTGGGTTTTTCTGTGTAGCACTGGCTGTCCTGGAATTAACTCTGTAGGCTGGGTGGCTTTGAAATAAGAGCTCTACCTGAATGCTGGGATTAAAGGTGTATGTCACTGGCCCGGCCTGAGAACTGGGTATCATTTTTAAGAAAACAAGATAAAACATACCACCAGATGCATTGCTAATGGCTGATCCTGCAGATGCCACTTTGGAAACTGCTGCAGGATTATACGTCCAAGATGTGCCACAAACTTCCACCTTTAAATCACTGTCTGAATAAATCTGTTGTACTCTGCCAACTTTACCTAAAGTCTTTAAAAAAAAAAAAAAAGATTATTAAATTCTATTACCACATCCAGTACTTTAAAGTGTTGATTTTACTTATTCCTAATCTTAACAATTTTTCTTAACAATTTTAAGAAATAACCATAATGGTTTATTAGTCACAAACTTAACGTATCTTTTTAAAACCATCTGAATAATTTGGCTAAGAGACAGCTTAACCATTAACAGCACCTGCTCTTGCAGGAGATCTGAGTTGTGTTCCCAGCACCCACACAACCCACCTTGAGACGAGTTCCAAGGATCAAACTCCCTCTTCTGACCTCCATAGGCACCAGCACACATGTGGTGCACATACATGCAAGCAGGCAAAACACTCACACACATAGGATATTAATTATCCTAAAATAAAAATTTAAAGTAACAATTTCAAAAAAGGAGTAAAGAAATAACACATGTATTAAATAGAATAAGAAGGTCAGCCGGCCACAGATAATCAGTAGCAACCTGAGTTCTCACCAGACAGTAAATCCTGTTCTAAGACCTTTGCACGAACAGGTACTCAGTCCAGAAACAAGCACTTCCATTAGCTCCATTTGAAACGCAGATACAAAAGCCAGACACTTACACATTACAGAATCACAACACCTGGAAATTAGTGAGACTAGAACAACAGCCAACTACAACCTAACAGATAACATTAACCTTGTGCACTGTTATCTTATTTGGCTTTTCCACCTTCTTGAACAAAGGCCCACCATTTCTTGGCTTTTGATCATTCCTTCTTTTTCACATACATATAGATACGTACAAACACGTATACATATTTAATAAATACTACATAAAAATGTTTTAGTTTCTTTTTCTTCCCCCCTTTGATGTTTTATTATGGGAAGCTGTGAACAAAAGTAGATAATAAAATAGTGAATTTTCATGTACTCTCCAACAGCTAAAAATAATTACTGGCTTATGACCCAATCTTCATCTATTACCCTAACCATTCTCCATTCCCAGATTATATCAGCATATACATACAAAACACACATTATTAACAGATCTATACTATTATTTTCCCATCCAACACTATCAATAATTCTATACCATAAAACATAAAATAACCTGTCGTATAAATAACTTTTTAGTTTGTTTAAAATAAAGATCCAAAGTTCATGAACTAGAGATGACTTAGCAGTTAAGAGCACATACTGCTCTAGTGGAGTAACTACTGTTATAAGCACCCCGAAAACCATCTGAATAATGGAACTGGGGACATAGCAGACCATTAAGAGCACCTGCTCTTGCTCTTGGCTGGTTGGGTCACAACCACCTAGCCCCAGGAGATATGATGCCTTCTTCTGGATGCAGGAGGCACACACAGATCCATAGACAAACATGTGAAAAAGAAATCTCAAGAGCTGGAGAGCTGCCTCGGCAGTTAAGAGCATTTGCTTTTGCAGGAGACCAGGTTCAATTCCCAACACCACATGGTGGCTCACAACCTCCCCTAACTCCAGTCCCAGATCTGATGCCTTCTTCCAACCTCTGTGAGCATCAGGCACATAAATGGTGCAGATACACAAATGTAAGTAAAACACTAATACATATAATCTTAAAAAAACAAAAAAGAAATTCTAAAGTCCATATCCTTTTTTGGTAACTAATATGAGGAAACAGGGTTATCCAGTTTCTCACAATCTAAATATTGCTAAGTGTAGCTGCACAGGCTTGTTTTGTTTTCTATGTGTGACCAGTGAGAACTCTTCAAGCTGGCTGTTCATTCTTTGAGTACAACACTACAGTCCCTGATGGCATCTCTGCTGTCTGGCACGAGGCCCATCCTCACCTAAATTATCTCTTTAGTAAGGTAGTTATCTGAAGCCATAATCTGCTCTACACTGGTTACTGCTACTACCCTCTCACTCTTACAGGTTTTTCAATGACAGAAGTCAGAAACAGGGTTTTATTTTCTTATTTTATTTATTTTAATGTTTTGGTTTTATTTTTAAAATTTCTCAGAAAAAAAATTTCTCATTTTAAATGCACACATGTATATCTGAGTATATGTATGTGCACCACACATATGAAGGCACCCAGAGGCCAAAAAGAGCATTAGATCTCTAGAACTGGGATTCTAGACTACCGGGAGCCAGTTGTGAGCACTCTACTGACCGAGTTTAAACCTCCAGTCACCATTTTTAAAAAGATATATAGTTTATATTATCCTACATTTAGCAAATGTCTTTACATAAACAGAAAATGTGAAAACAGATCTCTTTGCCCTTTTTAAAGAAAGACGTATACATGAATATGTCTATTCTGTAGTATGAGCGATAGTGAAGATAGCCATTCATGTATTGTTACACCCTTCTTCACCCCCTTCTCCATAACTTCACACACACTTTTGGGGGGCTTGGGGGTTTTTTTGTTTGTTTTTCAGACAGGGTTTCTCTGTGTAGCCCTGGCTGTCCTGGAACTTGCTCTGAAGACCAAGCTGGTCTTAAACACAGAGATCTGCCTGTCTCTGCCTCCCAAATATTGTGAATATACACATACTTTTTTAAAGCAGACTGGATATGATATTTATTAGTGAACACTACTTATAGCATGTGGAACTCTGGCACAGTGGAAGACTCCAGGAGTACAGGGCCTTACCAGTGTTGTGTGTGTGTGTGTGTGTGTGTGTGTGTGTGTGTGTGTGTGTGTGTGTGTGTGTGTTGTTTTGTTTTGATTTTTCGAGAGAAGGTTTCCCAGTGTAGCTTTGGAGACTGTCCTGAAACTAGCTCGAGTAGACCAGGCTGGTCTCAAACTCACAGAGATCCTCCTGCCTCTGCCTCCTGATCACTGGGATTCGCCTGGCTGCCTTACTAATTTTCCAGAGGACAAGAACTGGAGGAATATTTGTGGTCTCATGGACACCAGGAATAAGTCACTTCTCAGCTAGCTACCATGTCTTCAAATTCATGAAACTTGGCGAAGCCCCAATTCTTTAAGGTATGGATGTTCTAGTGGCCAAGAAACTTGAACCTGGCTCTACACAGGCCACTAATCATAGTCCTGATTCTTGGTGCAGATAAACATGACCTAGCCAATTGGAATCTTGGCTACTTATAGCTTAGAACTTTCCAAAGATACCTGGATCCCTGTCTAGAACCTAGATGAGGAATAGCACTGAAATAAACTGTCTAAAGTTCCTTCAGGCAACTCATACAAGTAACAGGTTGAATGCACTACTTCAGAGGTTGCTATTTGCAGCCGTTGCACAATAGGCTTTCAATAATTTTAAATAATAATATTTCATGCTAGTTAACACAGCTATAAAGCAAACAATTTATCAATTTATTAAACTAACGTTTCCTCATTTCCGACTGTTGCAGTTATACTGTTAGGAAGTATAATCATTATATATGCTCCTCTTTCAATTTCATTAACCAAACAAATAAGTACATATTGCATGATCAGCTGGAAACTCTCTAGTCACCTAGATTGTCTCAAGACAATCTGCTCAGAACAGACTCACGGGAGTAAGGCCTTTAAATTCTTACAAACTCAGAGCAATTTACAACCTTTATACTTAAATGTCACTTAGGCTGAATATATATTTCCTTTCCTTAGTTGTATTAATTATCACTGTTTTATAACATGAAACATTGAGATACTTTTATATACAACAAAATGATCTTAGTTTAAATATTAGCAATACCAAAAAAATTCTATTTTTCTCAGCCCTTTACTTTTGCTGGGCTTACATACACATATCATTAGATATTTCATGCATGTCATTTTCTATGGAATATAATCTCTTCTTTTTCATATTTAAATTACTCTATTGCTTCTAAGATATTATCTGTGGCAATTATATGTGTTCCTCCTAACTTAATCATCACTTTTTAAAACACTTACTTGTGCATGTATATGTAATATGTATGCATGTGTGTCTGTGTGTGAACCCAAATTCATGAAGGGTGTGTGGTGTGTGTGTGTGTGTGTGTGTGCGCGCGTGTGTGCGTGTGCGTGCCACTGATGTCTTCCACTATTACTATCCACTTAATGTATTTTTAAAATTTTTTAATTTATTTTTATTTTATGTATATTAATGTTATGCCTGCAGGTATGTCTCTATGTGGGCATCAGAACCCCTGGAACATGAGCTACAGACAGCTGTGAGCTGCCATGTGGGTGCTGGGAATTGAACCTGTGTCCTCTGGAAGAGCAGTCAGTGCTCTTAACCACTAAGTCATCTCTCTAGTCCCCTCCACTTAATTTCTTTATAATACTTTTTGTTTATTTATTGTGTATGAATGGACGTGTGTGTGTGCGCGCGCGTGCATGCACACCCATGACACAGTACAAGTGTGGTAGTCAGAGCACAACTTGAAGGAACAAGTCTCTCCTCTTACCATGTGGGTCCTGAAGATCAAGCTCAGATCATCAGCCTTGATGGCAGGTGCCCTCATCTGCTGAGCCACCTCTCCATGGCCTCTTTCTTGCCTTCTGAGACAGGGTTAAGGTCTCCCTGCCCCCACCCCCTTTTCACGCACTCACTCATTGAGCCTGGCACTTATGAACTTGCTAGACTGGCAGGCCAGCAAGCTACACTGACTTGCACCCTCTGCTATCATTGCCAGATTACAGATGCAGACTCTACATGGCTTCTGGCCACAGGAAATCAGTCCTTCATGCCTGCTTACAACTGAGCCAATCATCCTTTTGTAAATGATGTTTTTCTTTTTAATTCTTTGCTAGGTTCTAACATTTCTGCTATTTCATTGTGTATTTTGACATGTCCTTAATTTATTTTAGCTTATTTTTAATAACCTGACTTTAGCTTCTTTTTAAGATTTATTTATTATGTATACAGTATTCTGCCCACATATATGCCTGCAGAAAAGGGCACCAGACCTCATTACAGATGGTTGTGAGCCACCATGTGGCGCTGGGAATTGAACTCAGGTCCACAGGAAGAACTGCCAGGCTCTTAACCTCTGAGTCATCTCTCCCAGCCCAACTTTAGCTTTGTCAATTTTTTTGCATAACCTTTCTTTGTGTGCAGTGATGCTCTGTTCTTTAATTCCATCCTCAGCAATAACTGCATGTAGAGATGAAACCCTTATCCCTGCCACCTTTTATCTGGACCTGTTCATTCATTTGCACACGTTGCCCCCATTCCACTCAATTTAATTTCTATTTTCAGCACTTTTTCCCCTAATGACTGACTATGTTGGAAGGGAGCTGATTAGCAGATGTCACCATCATATCCAGCCAAACTCAAGTACGTAAAGAGCACTCTAAGACTCGGCTTCAGTTACAGCACTAATGTCCACACTAGCCAATGAGAACCTGATAGTTAATACAGCAAATAGGTCCTGCTCTCAAATCTAATAGTTGCCCCATCAATTCACACAGCTGCCATGCAGACTGATGGGGGCTGAGAAGCTAACGGTGACTTAGCTACTCATTCATATTTTAAGGTAATGTACAAGAGATTGATTGTATTTTTCTTGTTTTGTTTTGAATCTAATAGGTTTATTTTATGTTCTAAAATACCTACTGAAGGAGTACAGACAGAAGAATGGACAGGGTAGCAGTGAAGACAAGACAGGGAGCTCATACAGGATGGGATAAAGCTAGTCAGGGCGGGACTGAGGGCAGAGAGGGAAGAAAGGAAGCACTGTCCTCAGAAAGGAGGGCTGGACAACACGGGGTGGGGTGGGGATCTGAGAGGAGGGAAGAGGACCACACGGGATGGGAACTGTAAACAACAGGGGAAGAGTGAAATGAACAAGGCGGAAGAGGACGGGGCGCAGGACCCAGAAGGAGGTAAAACAGGAGGGGACAAAGAGAGCTGGTAAAAGAAAAGATAAATGAAGGGCGAAATAATAAACTTGTTTATTATTGCTGAACAGGTGATGAAATGTGTACTGAGTGAAAAACTAAAAGGTCAGCCATATCACGGATATCAAAACTACTCTCAGAGGGCGTGCACACGTGCTATCCCCACACCCCTACACATTTTAGGCTCCGGGAGAGGAAGGCTGTGTGGTGTTGTCCCACTGCTGAGATGGAAGAACATGCTGCCTTCTCATTTGGGAGCTGGGTACCAGGAAACCCTCTCCCTCCGTTACTACATTACTTACATTATTAACTGTTATTAGAGATACCAGCCCCTTCCGGATCTTCCTAGGCTAATCCAACTGGAATAAATTAGACGTAAGTAATCTTGTTGCCTAGTACACCTAGAATACTCTGTGTGTGAGTGTGAGTGAAGCAATCCTTCGCAATTAAATTGAGTGACTTTTTTTAACTTTCAATTCCAATTGTTTCTAAAAGTAATGTGATTTAATTAACTAATTCTATATGCAAAATATACTATGTCTTCCCAAACTATTTTACATATACTTACTGGAAGCATCGCTTCAGCCCATTCACCGTGTCCTCTTTGGAGAAGTTTAATTCTTTCCAGGTCATAACAAACTTGCACAAGATCACCCACTTGAAACTGTGAGGTGCCTCCTTCTGCACCCTGGGCAGCATCCCCACTTCGGACAATGTTTGCCTTCGTGAGAACAGCAGGATTGAAGGTCCACCTACAAAAGCAGAACCGCACTCAGAATGAGTGAATTCACTCAACACGTCTTTAAATGCTGCAGGAAGAAGAACATTGTACCACTTCAAAATACTAAAGCAATCCTCTGCAATTACATTCTAAATGATTGTTTGTTTAGGTAACTTTCGGTGCTTACTAATACACACAATACATAAAGAACATCCCTGTGTATACACGGTTGTGCACACAGAGTTGGTTTCTGCAGAACTGCTTAAGGAAAACCTTTCTTTCCTGATCACATATACTTATTTACCATATTATCCTACACAAACTGCCTACCAAATGCACCATCCCCTATATCAAGAGTTCTCAACTCATGGGATGCAACCCTTTCACAGGCTTCCCCTATCAGATCTCCTATATTACATTGCAATTCATAACAGCAGCAAAACTATAGTTATGAAGTATCAATAAAATAATGGTATGTTTATAGGGGTCACCACAACATGAGGAACTACGCCAGGGGCTCACAGCCTTAGGAAGGGTGAGAAGCACTGCTCTGGAGCACTGCTAATCTCTAGGTTTCATTTGCCATGAGTAAATGCTTTCCATAACTGCAATACCTGTACCGAAACAAATCTGATCTGGGGCTATAGCTCCGTGATGGTGACTGCCTGGCATGCCTAAATCCTGGGTTCAATTTCCCAGAACCAAACACAAATAAAATCTATTTTGGTTTTTTGTTTTATTTTGTTTTCACAGAATCTCATATTTCCCACGGTAGCTTCAAACACACTCAGAACAACCTTGCTCGTTTCTTCTCCTGCCTCTTCATCCCAAATGCGTAGATTACAGACATGTGCCTCCTATCTGATGTATGCAGTGCTGGGGATGAACACAAGGCATCCTTCAATGCTGCTATTGTGTTCCTGACTAGTCAATGTCTCAACAAACAAATTTACCACAATGTACAAAACACAGTGAACTCCAGGGCAAAAAAAAAAAAAAAAAAAAAAAAAATCCCTTGTCAAATTCCTAATTATTTACATCTTATTCACTCTTCAGAATTCAAGTACTTATCTGGAATTAGAACAAGTGAAAAATCAAACTACATAAAATAAAAAAAGAAAGAAAGAAAGAAACCACCTGTTCCTAGAACTATGCAAGGGGCCGGCTAAATGGCTCAGTAGTTAAGTCAGTGTTTCTCAACCCCTTGGGAGACACATATCAGATAGTTAATTATGACTCATGCCAGCAGCAAGCAATATTACAGTTCTGAAGTGGCAACAGAATATTTTTATGCTTGGGGTCCCCACAACATGAGGAACTGTGTTAAAGGGTAGCGGCGTTAGAAAGGCTGAGGACCACTGGGTTAAGTGCACTGACTGCTCTTGCAGACGACCTGGGTTGAGTCCCAGGACACACAAGGCAGCTCACAACCACCTTTATGTCCATTCCAGTGAATGCAAAGCTGTCCTCTGACCTCCCTCAGCTTCTGCATACACATGGCACACATAAATTCATACAGGCACACATACACACAAATAATAAACATTACAAGCATGCACGAACATGCTCTTTTAAAGCAAACCCAGAGGGAAAGGGACTCTGAATAGTAAGAATCATCTACAGGGATCAGCCAAATGGACCAGCAAGTAAAGGCATTATTTTACCACCAAGCCTGACACCTGAGTCAAACCCTGGAACCCTATGAGGGACGGAAAGAGCCAACCTCTTCAGTTTCCTCAGACATCAATGTAAAAGTCATGCGCTTGTGCACGCCCATGCACACACTCCTCAATGCCTTACCAACACATTCAGAGTTTGGATCTGCTGCCTGAGGCCCGGCTTTAATAAACTTGGGACTATAGCATATCACTTGCTTTCTTTAAGGCTCTTGTCTCTTTAAGTTAACTTTGTCATCAAAACCCAGGAAATAGTACCAACCTATTGCCACTTGGATACTGCACTACAATGTCATGATCTTCATCGATGCCACAGACAGTTCCAGTTGTAGTTAAAGTCTCAAACATCCCATCAGTCCACCCTCCGTGGCCATGCTGCAAAGACTGTACAATTTCCAGGTCAAGGTCTATATTTACCAGGTCACCAATCTGCAATCCACCAGGATTCCTGTTGCCATTCTGCTCACCTGTCATTCCAAGCACAATTAACGAAAAGGGGAAAATGAATGAAAGAAGACAAACACTATAGTATGCAACTACACTCACGTGTTTGTGATCACTACCTTGCTACTGTCACTGATTACAAGTCTGTTAATTCCCCATTTCTTCTTGATCTTCTCTATTCATTTGAGGTGTTTCTGTGTAAGAGTCTGCTCTTTACATTTAGTTTACCACATTTACTGACTAACACCTATTCGTGGTACTCCCTTAAAACCTTTTATGAAAGTTTTTTTCTAAATGGCGCACAGTAATTGTAAATATTCATACATATACTATGATATCTTTATACACGCAATGTATAATGAGCAAATCAGGGTAGTAAGTATATCTATTTTCTCAAACATTTATCCTAATGATAAAAACACTGCAAATTCTTTCTTCTAGCTATTTGAAACCAAACTGTGCCACATCAGAGCTAACTGCACCTGTGTGGCAGTAACCCATCCCCTCTTTCAAGTACATTATTAACACAAATACTATCTAGATAAGATACTTTTTAAATACCAGCTCATCTCAATGTGTTTTACCAATACAGGATTAGATTCTACAACTAGGTTTTCAAGTACAGAAAAAGTAAACAGACGTTAACTCAAACACTGCAACAATGTGGACCAGGCTATATGTGTAGCTAAGTGGTGTGCCTCTTGCCAGGAAGGTGAAAGGCACAGGACTCCATTCTCAGAACCACAAAAAAGGAAAAGAAATTGTAATAATAAAATTAAATAAAGACTGTTGTAATGCAGGCGACCGCCTCTCATGCACCTGCATGTGGAAGGTGTATGGACGAGGACTCATTTAAAAAAGACCACCCACTTCCATTCTCTAGCTCCTACTGTTCCCTTGAAGAGGCAGACAGGACTTTTCCTGTCTTCCTCTTCTCTTCTGTCCTCTCTGTCTCTATGTCTCTTTACTTTATTTTCTTACCCCACTGCAATAAAAAAATTCAACATGAGCCACATCTACAGGTCTCTGTTTCCCATCCGCCGCCATCCATCACCCTCTGCACAGCGGGACCACGGCCTTGCCACACGAGTTCCCAACCCGCACCAGGACATTCTAATAGAGGCAAAATCTACAGTAACTACCAACTCTAAGTCAAGAATACAGCTCCTTGAGGATAAAAACACCCAGGGACTTGCTTGGATGACTTGCTGACTAGCACTGCACCAGAGCCACAGTAACCATAGTAAGTAAACAGACTGTAAGGGAGAAACGCCATTTCTTCCTCAGTTGGGCTTAGTATTATTTCTAAAAACAAAATTGTCTAAGCCAATTAAGAATAAGATTCTGGGATAAAGATTTAATTTGAAATCATAAAAACACTAGATTGTGGGATCTAATAAATGTTCATGCTAAGCCTACACTTTTCTGATAAAGGCACAAAAAAAGTAAAAAGAGAAGTAAGTGCTCACCAAGAGCATGTGTATTCTCCTACACTCTCCTCTAAAAAGAAGTAACAGCATGCTGGAAGGAAAGAGAACTTTTTGAAAAAAAAGGCAAGTGATTTCAGAAAGAGGACACTGCACAGGGAAGGAGAGTGTCTGGGGCTGAGGGCTTCATCACAAGAACACAGCAATAATGAGTCTGTAAATGAAAGCAGCTTTGGTTTCTGTACGCTTTCAAAACGAATTGGGCTTGTAACCATTCTTCTACTAATTAAGTTTTAAGTAACTGTGAGGTTTTTATAAGCACTAAATTGTCAAATTCTTTCCTCAGTAGTGTGGGAGGTACAATACTGATATAATACAAAACTTTTCAATGGTGTAAGTGCAGTACATCAATTCCCAAGACATAGCTCCTTGTGAGTCTAAATAAACCATGGAAAAGAGAATAATGTTTTAGAACTAAATTGAAACCAAGTACTCCTCTACATACCTTTAGTGATAATCTTTCCTGTGTAATTTGGACTTTACCCTGACCATAAGAACCTGACTCACTAGTTGGCAATTTTCTTTAATCTGCTGACTCACCTAGCACAGGGCAATGATCTCTGTAGAAAGAACCTCCTTTGGCATCCTGGACACACTTCAGATCAGACTGAGAAAAGAAAACCAGAAAAATGACCCATGAAAACTTGAAATATGGTGCAGTCCCTGAAAAAAGGCAAGTTTCTCTCAGCCACACTTCACTGCTTAGAACCATCTCAGCTATCAAATGTTAATGGTCAAAGGTAACACTGAACTTCAACATTAAGTATTTTTCAAATGCACATGGCAAGCAATAAACTCTAAGAAACACCCAGTATTTGAGAAATGCATAACATACTGAAATTTTAAAACAATTTAACCCAAAATGAAATAAAAATCCCACTGCATTTGATACTTTCAAAACATTTATTAAAGATACAAGGCAAATACATAAAAGAAGGGAAATTAGGTAAAACCAAGCAGCCTGAAGAAGCAGAGAATGGAAACAAATCCAGCCTCTAACCTTTAATTTCTCTATCTTGTTAATTAAGTTCCTTCCCACTTATTTTTACAAGAAAATACATTCATTCATACTTAAGTAACTGAATGGAAAGACACCCATAGTTACAAGTTACAAGAAATATGGACATTAATTTTGGGTGTTACATGCAAAAAATTTAAAGTGAGTTAAAGAAACAAAAAGACAGAAAACAAAGAAAAAAAATAGATGCACTAAAAATTGTCTAGAGTTGCTGGTGTACACAGTAGGTAACTGGCACATCCACACAGAACCCAATTCTGTGACAATCCATCTTGCACTAACCATGAAATATTATGCAACCCAAGACATAAAGGCTTTACTTATTTTTAATGTGATAATTTGATCCAATAATTCTACCTCCAAAAATCTATCCTAAGGAAATATGTTCATAATACGCAAAACACATGCAAGCATACTGGCTGCCACCCTGCTTACAGCGTGGAGAGGGAAAGTAACACTCAAAAGACATCTCATTAAACAATGGCAGTAACCTCATGAGTCATCAACCTGTATATGGTCTTCATTTAATTACTTAAACACACACAGTACATACATCATATGAAACAAACAGAATCCTTAAAAAAAAAAAAAAACTCACAATTCCAAAGCATACAGAGACACCAGAGTCATGAATATGTAGTAGAAGAAAGGAAATTAGCTTACTTATAGCTAATAATAAAACGTGGCATTACTAAAGCATTTATTAGTCAAACACATGCCTTTAATCCCAGTATTTAGGAGGCAGAGGGAGGAACATCTCTGAGTTCAAGGCCAGCCTGATCTACAAAGTGAGTTCAGGACAGACAGGATGACACAGAGAAACGCTGTCTTAAAAAACCAAAGGGGGAAAAAAAAAATTAAAAAATAATAAAAATAATAAAGAATTTGTTTTAAGTTCGCACTGCCTTTCATATGTAAGTGAAATATATTAAGGAGAGAAGGCAAAGACAGCTGAGAAAAGAATGAAACAAAGAACTATCTGGGCTAGAGATATAGTTCAGGGCTAAGGCACTTACCTAGCATGCAAAAACCCCAGTATTACAATTAAAATATAATAATAATAATAATAATAATTCCTTAAGTGGGAATATATTCAGAATTAAAATGTTATTAAAGAAATTTGTATTTCAGAATTAATAAACAGTAAGGCTGGATATGGTGCCCACATATTTTAATGCCAGCTCTATGAGTTTAAGGCCAGTTTGGTCTACAGAGCAAGTTCCAAACCAGCCAGAGCTACACAGTGAGACCCTGTCACAAAACAAAAATCAATATTTGAACAATGGTCCATGAAATACAGAAATATAAAACAATCTGTTGACTAAACCTACATTATTCTCCACTTAATTCTGGATGATTCCAAGTCTGTACCTTTCATATCCTGTTTTTGGTTTTTGAGACAGTCTCATTATGTGCCCAAGCTGGCCTTGAACTTGAGATCCTGCTTCCTCCACCTCTGGAGTGCTAGGACTTTGTATACAACAAGATAAGCACATTTAATCACTAATTCTGTGCTTTAACAAAACAAGATGGGCGAGAGATGGCTCAGTGATTAAAAGAACTGACTGCTCTTGCAGAGGACCTGGGATCAAGTCCCAGGATCCACGGAGCAGCTCACAACTGTCTGGAACTCCAGTCCCAGGGGACCCAACACCCATGGCAAAACACCAATGCATATAAAATAATAACTTTAAAAAAAAAAAACTCCCTTAAAAATAATTTATACTTTTTATCAGCTACCACACATACAATACAAAAGCCATTTCATGTTAATACTAGCCTCCAAATCTATGCCAGGGGATAGTCCTATAAATAACTCTTATATTTTGTTTAGATTTTAAAGGCTAAATCCACTAGGCATTTTACTATGGCCAAATCTATTTGCTATTGAGCAGTTTATAGAAAACAGAGTCTAAGTCAAGTGTGAGGAGTTGAAATCCTCACTTTCCTGCTGCAGGTTCATGGCTTAGGTGCATCTCATCAGACAGAAGAGACCGTGCACACACAGGATGGCATCAGCTCCCACCATGGTCACCCACTGTCACAGGGCGTGTTTGCGTTTTCACTACTCACCATGCCCTCGAAGCCAACTCTGTACAGGTTCTTAGCACCATTATCCCAGAGAACGTACGCTGCGCTGTGCGGGCTTGACGCACTCCAGTCTTGGATTTCCGTTACCTAAGTGTAGAAGAAAATACTTTTTATAAAACAGAAAGAAGCAGCCAGGCAGCGGTAGTTCATGCCTTTAATCCAGGCTCCTAGAAGGCAAGAGGAGGATCTCTGTGAGTTCAAGGCCAGCCTGATCTACAGAGCATGTTCCAGGACAGCCAGGGCTACACAGAGAACCCTGTCTCAAAAAAAGAAAAAAGAAAAAGAAGGGGAGAAAAAAGGAAAGAAGAGGTTAGACGCTTTAATTATACTGAAATCTTAAACATCTTTTCATCTATCAACCTATATAACAAAATCAAGAAAAATACCTATTTGCCAAATATCACTTTTAGCATTATTTCTCCTGAATTATAAGCATTATTTCTCCAGAACTATAAGTTTTATTAAGACAGAACATTGTTGAGTAGCCCATCTCTACCTCAAACTCAAAATTCTCCCGCCTCAGCCTCCCAAGGGACAGAACTACATGATGTGTTTTACCAAATCCAACTTCTATTAACTGTTTATGCTGGGTTCTTTCTTTGTGGCACTTAGCCCTGGCTACTGAGTTGTATCCCCAGCCTGTTGTTTTGTTGTTGTTGGGGGAAGGGGGTGTTAAGATAAGCTGTGAGAACACAGCCCAGGGTGACCTCAAACTCCCTATTTGGATTACCTGAGAGTTATGAAGTACATTATAATATCACTGTAGAAATTTTTAATAGGCTATCAGAAAATGACTAATTAAATTCTAAAATCCTTTAAGAACACAGCTTACTCATTTTAGCCAGCTATCTAATACATAATTTAAAATCTTTAAGCACGTATGTAAACTGAAGATAAACCAGTATTCTAGTCAGCTACAAGATAACAAAGCCAATGTTGTGAACAATGTCAGTGCACGGAGCTGCTCAGTTAGAAAAAAAGCAGGTTACCCCAGACAGAAGAGCATGCTATGGCGGGCACAGACATAATGGCCCTCACACAAGCAAACTGATTCTTAAAACTTACTGGGTTAAACTCTAATTTGTTCTTTTTTCCCCCTGTGCGTGGGCGCACACGCAAGCGCGCGCACACGCACACACACACACACTTACTTCTAGGATAGCCAGGGCTGCACAGAGAAACCCTGTCCTGAAAAACCAAAACGAAAAGTACAAAAAAAAAAAAAAAAAAAAAAAAAAAAAGAATGCCAAGACTTCTCAAGACCTGCACATCCATCACAAAGACCTGCACATCCATCACATCCACCCCTCCACCTGTTTCTCGAGAGGCCACCATCTTTCTCATTTAGTCCATCATTCTCCACCATGCTTTAATATTCTGCCCAATTAACCACTGTACAAGTTTACATCGCTGAAGGGAACATGCAACATACCGTCTATAGCAATAACCTTCCTTCACATTTGAATATAACAACTACTTCATATTGTAAAATTTAACACTACCTTAAGTACTTATGATTCAGAATGATTTACTTTTATTTTTGTGTACATGTGGGTGTCTACATGAGATTATTTGTTCCACATGTGTACAGGAGCTCACAGAGGCCAGAAAGGGGCTTTGGATCCCCTGGACTAGAGTTATAAACAGTTGTGAGCCACCCTGTGGGTGCTGGGAACTGAACCCAGGTCCTCTGCAAGAGCATGCAATGCTCATAACCACTGAGCCATCTCTCCAGCCCCCAAAGACCTCAACCCTCACTACCACAGAAAAACACAGATGATGGATCAGCAAGGCTAAAGATCTGGGTTTCTTCAACAAACAAATGGCATTTTTAAAAGGTTCATAATTTTTAAATTGAGTGATGAATGCCTAGGGATTTGTTATGCTATTCTTTCTACTTTGACATATGAGAGATTTTCCATCAAAAGTGGTTTTAAAAGAAGGACTATGACTTAGCATACCTATATAAAATAACAAATAACAGGCCAAAGCTGTGTAGTCATAATTCACAGCTTCAGGGATGCCTACCTTTATTCTTTTTCCTCACTCTCCCAAAAGTGCTGACTGGTGAGTGTTCTGCTGTTTGTCAACCTGATACGAGCCAATCATCTGGGAAGAAGGAACCTTAACTGAGGTTCTCAGACTGCCTGGACTGCCTGTGTGAGGCTTTTCTTGATTAACAATTGATTAAGAAGTGGGAGGGTCCAGTCCCTAAGCAGGTAGCCCTGGGTGGTATAAAGAAGCAAGCTGAGCAGGCCACAGGAAGCCAGCCAACAAGCAGTGCTCCTCGTGGCTTCTACGTCACCCTCCCCTGAACTCCTGTCCTTGTTCTCTGGTGGTGGAGCAACAGTCCCACCATCACAGTTAGTTTCTGTCGGTATTCTTGTCACAGCAACAGAAAGCAAACTAGAATAGCAAAACCCAATAAAGCCCCAATTCTGCGGCTTCAGAGTATCTCACAGCAACTGTCTTAGAAAGTCATTTGCAAGATTTCTAATCCTCTGCATATATATCTGTGGAGAAGAATATAAGCTCATTTTCAGAATGAAAATATTAATTTTTGTCTTCTTAAGAACTTTATACACCTGTATTCTGGAAAGATAGAGTATGGAAAGCATAATGGGACAGAGGCATCCAGGGAACACAGCAGGCCATAAGAAGGCTCAAGATGGGGCACCAAGCACATGAAGTAATTCATCCAGACTACAGCCAATGTTGAACAGGCTCTTATCAAGCCCCCCACTGCCAGATGGTAATGGTGAAGATAAACCCTATCTCCCCCCTCAAAAAAAAAATAGATTTTTTTTTTCCTTAATTAAAAAGGGGCTGGAAAGATGGCTCAGCAGTTAAGAGGGCTAGCTGCTCTTTCAGAGGTCTTGAGTTCAATTCCTAGCAACCACAAGGTGGCTCACCAACCAAATATAATGAGGTCTGATGCCTTCTTCTGTGTGCAGGGATACATGTCGGCAGCACACTATGTGCCCACTGGTGGAATATTCTGCTGACCTGAGAACAGATTGCCTTCTATGCCTGACCACATCTCCAGGCTATCAAGTGTACTGTTCCTTTGGACTGTACCTCTCCCTCACCTGTTCCCGACACCCACACCAGGTAAGGTGTCGTCTCCGTCTCCCTCTCCCTCCCTTGTCCTACTTTAGAAAACTATGGTGGGCTACAGTGAGCTCAGAAGCAACTGTGCCACCTGACGTCCTGTGCTGAGCTGTGTTCCCAGAACTCACTGGCGGAAGGGTCCTCACACACTCTACAGATACTGAAGAAAAACAGTCTCTACAGACTAGTCTGTCCCTATTTTTCTGGGAGCCTTCATCTAAAAGGAACATTTTGCCCTGCTGTTACAATAGTCTGTGACTGCTACTTTCTTTTTCAAAATGTAAGTAAGTAGAGACAATACTACTCAAAAAGTAATAAAGGAAAACAAAAGGTAAACATAAAATAAGGCTAACAGTTACTTTGGAGGAGGCTGCAAATGGGACAGGCACAGAGGCGTTTAAAGAATCTCATATATTTTATTGTTTGTTGGGGAGGTGGGGATTGGAGACAGGATTTCTGTGTAGCCCTGGCTGTCCTGGAACTAACTCTGTTGACCAGGCTGGCCTTGAACTCACAGGGATCCTCCTGCCTCTGCCTTCCGAGTGCTGGGAACCCCAGCTAATGTTTATGATGTTCAGCAGCTCTGTGATTCAAATCCAGGAAGGCACTGAGGCCCTCTCACTGAGCTATACCTTCAGCCCCTCTGATACAATTCTAACAGCAGAAAAATCTAGAACATGAGGTGCCGCTTAGGAAAGACTGGCCCATGGAGTCCTCAGGAAGGCATCTATGGACCACCAAACAGCAGCATTGAGCCTAAGGTAAAACCCACCTAACAACCTTCTTGGGAAACAGCAACATTCACAAATCAACAGGAGCCCCATTTCCTCCCCAAAGAAAAAAGAAATGGAGATTTTTAAAACTTGTTCCTGGCATGGAAATAAACGGGCCAAGACATGCACTTACACAGCAGCAATAGAAATCTCAACACCCAACCCTCTAGAGCACATGGTGAGTTTTAGTCCATACCTTTCCTCTCCGCCCATTGCCCCCGTCTTGATCTTCCCACTGCCAGTCCACTCCGCGCACCACTCTGGCACCCGCAAAGATGCCTCTGGCTGTAATCTTCTTAGACTTCCTACGAGACTCTAACAGAACCCTAAAAATAAAAGTTTTGTTTTCACATTTTATAAAACTGAAAAATCATGACATATGTGAAATGTAAAAGCCTTTACACGGGGAAGGTGTTAGCTCATTAAAAGAAAGATAACACTACACGGTCCATCTTACAAATGAGGACTTGAGGCATGAAAAAGAGGGTTTGTTCAAGTTCACAAAAAAGTAAAAGGCAATGGAACAATAACCACCTCAGGCTAAGGCTCTTGTGTCCTCTGTCAGCGCCTACAAATGGCAGGGTCTCAGGATGAACTCCAAACCACACTTGGCTGTGGCTTAGGGAAAACACTTAGTGGCAGCATTTTGGCCACCTCAAGAGAATGATTTGTCTACAAAGAACAGCAGCTGGGTTCAGAGTGGAGGTGGAGTGTCTTTAAGAATCTGTGAAAAGTGAGCAGTGAATCAAACACTCAAGAGTACTGCATGGATGCCAGGAAACTGAGTCTGAGGCCAGGTTTGACTACATTACACTGTCTCTGGAATACTGCACACCATGGACACTTACAAACTGCTATGTACTGTTGCCAGAGTACTGCACACCTAGGAGCACTTACAAACCTTGGGAAAGACCGCACCAATTATCTATCTGAGCCAGCTGCTTTCTTCAAAGCCATCTCCTCTGCCCCTTACTCATCTACATCCTTTTACTCAGATGTCAGTCTTTTGTTTTTTGAATGTTATCTTATTGTTTTATTCATTTTTTAAAAACCTATTTGAAGAAAAAAACAAAACTAACTTTTTTTCCCAAAATACTCAGTTTAAGTGGCAGGACCATAATTTGAAATGAGATGTTATTACTCCTCGCTGTGGCTCTCTAGCTGGCTGTATACTTGCTCAAGGGCAGTATCCTATCCACACGAGAAGACTCCACTACCTAAAACTCCACACCCATAACTATGTCGCTCCCTCTCATCAACCTTAAGACCTAAGATATTATCAACATCATTTGATATTCATTCATGATCCATCGCTTATCTTAAATTATAAGTTCCTTAAGAAAACTATCTTCAAATCATAAATACAGTAGCTGTCATATGGTCTCTCTCTGTATGTGCACAAATTCATGTATGCAGGTGTACATGCACATGCGTGAAGACCAGAGGTGACTGTTGGGTGGTAATCACTTTTCCACCTTAATTTTTGAAAAGATCTCTCACTGAACCTGGAGTTCAATGTTCAGCTAGACAGACTAGTCAGAGCTCCAAATACCCTCCTGTCTGTCTCTACAGTGCTGGCATTATAGAAATGTGCCGCTGTACCTAGTTCTCCATGGTCACTCGGTATTCACATACAGCTCCCCATGGTTGTGCAGCAAGCACTTTACCGACTGAGGCATGTCTCAAGTCCCCACCATAATAAATGCCTGCTGACTCAATCAGCAGGCCTCTTCACCGGGTAGAAAGTAAAATAAAGGGTATAACAAGAAGAAAGTTACTCTGTTTTGTTGGGAGGGAGGGGAGCACCCATGCATTTCCAACTTTTTAGCAATGCCAAGTCTCCATGCTAGAGAATAAAAATAGCCAAGATTATCTTACTAAAAATCAATTAATAACTGGAGGATAGCCAGAACTATACAGGGAGACCATGTCTTTAAAAAAAAGAAAGAAACCCATATAATAAAATTCTACCTTCACATTCTCTCACAAATAAACAAGTTCAATCCAAGTCTAGCCTGCCATTCTTTTTCTCCTAAAACTAAATCTAAACTGTCAAAAAGCTACCTCTGAATCCTACTTTTAAAGCTAACAGGATAAAAAGAAAAGTCACGACTTCAAGAAAAACTTGTTTACCTTACCGTTCACTTCCTGGTGTGGTAATCCTGTAAAAGCGATGCCTTAAGTGATGTTTGTCTCCATGATAACAAACAGTACACAAATCATAATTTGTGCACTCTGCACATTTCCATCGGATGCCAATGATTGGTTGCTGGCGGCAAGTGTCACACATAGTTCCATCATGCTTGATGCCTTGAAAACAGGCACATGCTTAGGTTACTCTCAAATACTTTACTGTGTTGGGGAAAACACAAGAGCATATTAAAGGTTATTTTAACAAAGGATGGGAAGAAACACAACACACCTAATTTCAAGGTGACAGATCTGAAACACTTTGATCAATATAAATCATTAACTAAACATGTTTTCTACTCTCATTTTACTAGTAAAACACAAGCCATTATTATTTGCCTAGGTGTCATCCATACAAAGAAACCTGGGCATAGCGCAAAAAAAACATAATCATTTCCCACCATCTAAGCATTTCTGGCTAAAAATACTCCAAATCAGAGGCTGGTTAAAGCACTTACTGTACCAGCATACAGAGCAGGGTTCAGATGTGCAGAACCTATACAATATAAGGTAAGCAGCCTGCCTATAATCCCCAGCACTCAGATGGACAGAGCAGGCTGGCTGGTACACTAGCCTCTATCAGTTGAGCTCAGGGTTCAATTCAGAAACTCTGCCCCATTGAATGGAGAGAACACTCACTTTCAACCTTGGGCTTTCACGTGCACATACATGCATGTGCCCACACCTGCAAACATGTTTGATACAAACATACACACATATCTATGAAGGGAAAAAACCCTTCAGGATGTTTAAGAGAATTGCAACCTATTGTTCAAGTAAATAATAACTTCAAAAGCCATCAATAAACTTAATAAGCACTTGGCAGTGTTTTCCCCCATAAACACTCAATTTTAGAAAACTATTAGGTAAAGGTGGGGATGATGACACACCCTATAATCCTAGCCCTTAAGAGATGGATGAAAGGGATCAGGAATTCAATGTCATCCTTAGTTACACAGCAACTCCCAAACCACCCTAAGCTTCATGAGGAGGTAGTAAGACGCCTGCTGAAGCTTGCTGCCAAGCCTGACACCCAAGTGCCATCTTTAAGACCCACATGGAGAAAGGAGGAAAACTACTCTCTCAGGCTGTCTTCTGACTCTCTAAGGCCCATGTGAACCTACACACACAAACTCAAACAGTAGAAAAGGAAGGTCAGCAACTGGCGCTACGCTAAGAGCTGGCTCAGAGGCTGTAACAGAGGAAGCACTTCCAGCTCCCAGCACCTCCCTCAGGCAGCTCCGCTCCATGGGATCCAGCACCCTGTTCTGGACTCTGTGGGGCATTTGCACACACTCCACACAATTAAAAATTCTTAAATAGAAAACAATACACTATGGTGCATGCCCCTCCCATCAAGGACAAAACTGTTACCTACTTGTCACCTCCCTCAGACTGCTCACAAAGAGATGAAATACACTGAAAGACCATGACAAATTATTGAAAGTAATCTTAGGGCTGGGGCAATTCTCCTTAATTATCCTTGACACTATTATCACCGTTCAGTAGGTAGAAACCAGAATGTTCTAAGTGGTATGTGACTTGTGACACCAGTAACACCACTTTACAAGCACATCCTAGCAACTGACCTCTATTTCACACTATCTTTGTGTCCTCGTGTAAAATGTCAATACACATATGGATGTTGGCGATGCACATCTTTAGTCCCAGCCCTCAGGAGGCAAAGGCAAGCAGATCGCTTTGAGTTTGAGGCCAGCCTGGTCTACAGGATGAGTTCCAGCACAAGTTCCAAAGCAATACAGAAACCCTGTCTTGAAAAACCAAGAAAAGGTTAATGCTCATCTCAAATTAGAGAGGTGGGATTCAGATGACTAATTGAGATTAGTCATACTCAAGATTTCCGGTGGGTAAAATAGAAATCTCTTATTCTGAATTTTGTTTAACTTGGGGGCTTACCATAAAGAAAAGAAAGCAGGTCTTTTCACTCTGAAATTTCAACCTCCTTTGGAGAAGGCACAATATTCTTTAGTGATGGGGCAATATTTTCTAAGACTCCAAGAATATGCTGTGTATGCACCCAGGACAAAAATTGTAATATTATGACTAGGTTCTAAAAGAATTAGTAACTACTGCTAATAGTAACCACTTTCTAATAAGAAAGGAAGTGTACTAATCATCTTCTATACCCAGATAACCAGATTCCAAATGAGGAGCTAAACTCAAGTACAAGTCTGTGTTTGAGCCAAAGTAGAGGAAAAGTGGAAGGATAAAACGGCAGGAACAGTTAACAGGGTGCCGTATTGGACAACCCAAGAGTGCACTATTCCAACATCAAATATGCTTTATGCACAACCCTTCAGTCTCCTACATCACAAATCTCTGGCAGTGAACATCAATGTCTACTAACTCACCCAGAATTACCTTTAATGTGTACTCATGAGTTCATGTGTGTGTACATGCTTAGAAAGGCAAATATAAAAGTGCACATGTCTTCCTCAGAGTACCATCTACCTTCTTTGAAACAGGGTCTCTCATTGGTCTGGAACTCATCAATTAGGCTAGACTGACTAGCCAGTGAGCCCAGAACACTCCCGTCTTTGGGATTACAGTGACCCAGAACACTCCTGTCTCTGGGATTACAGTGACCCAGAACACTCCTGTCTCTGGGATTACAGTAGCCCAGAACACTCCTGTCTCTGGGATTACAGTAGCCCAGAACACTCCTGTCTCTGGGATTACAGTAGCCCAGAACACTCCTGTCTCTGGGATTACATGCACTCTGTCACGCCATTTTGACAGGGCTTCCAAATAGAATTCAGGCACTCTTGCTTGAGAGGCAAATTCTTTACAGACTTAACTGGCTGTGGTGGTTTAAATGAAAATGTTGCATTATATGCAAAGATTAGGACATGTGGCCTTGTAGAAGTAGGTGTGCCTTGCTGGAGGAAGTGTGTCACTGGGGGTGGACTTTGAGGTCTCAGAAGCCTGCTGCCTGCAGATCCAGACACAGAACTCTCAACTCCTTTTCCAGCACCATGTCTGCCTAAATGCCACACTTCCTTCCCACCATTACAATAATGGACTAAACCTCTGGACCTACAAGCCAGCCCTAATTTAATGTTTTCCTTTGTAAGAGAAGCCATGATCGTGGTGTCTCTTCATGGCAATTGAAACCCTAAGACACTGACTGAGCTAATTCCTACCCCTCCCCATATTTTTTACTCCTAGTGGAGGAAGGCAGAGATTCAAATATCACTCTATAATGTCAAGAGATGTGACAGAATCCCAGTACTTGAAGTGCAGAGGCAGGAGGATTAAATTCAAGCCCAGTCTAGGCTATACAGGGAGAACTTCACTCAGGAAAAGAAAAAGGAAGGAAGGAAGGGAGGGAGGGAGGGAGGAGGAGGACAAAGGGAAGAGAGGGAGGGGAGGGGAGGGGAAGGGAAGGAAAGAGTGGGGAGGGGAAGGGGAGGGAGGGAAGCCATCAACCAAAAACCAGTAATAATTTTCTAGTTAGGGCTGAGAATATAGCTCAGTAACAGAGGATCTATGCAGTCAACTGCCAGCACCAAAACAAACCAGAATGAGTAAGAAAAGAGTTCCTTTCAAAGAAAGGGAAAAGCCACAGAAGAGAAGCACAAGAGGCAGCACAGTAAAATAAAACCAAAGGCTTGCAGATAAATTACAATTAGACTGAGAACCAACAAGTTGACATGGCTTCTGACCTGTATATTTATAGTGCTATATACTAAATGATTAACAAGGGTAGATATCTTAATACTGAACTCAGTGCGTACTCTGTTTCAGATATGCATTATACTAATTATATCCCTAAAGAGCTGATGAAGAGTGTTTTTAAATGAGGGAATGTAACAACCTGTATTTTCAAAACATGACCACACTGATCCCGTCCCATGTGCTCTTAGTTGCAGACAGTGACACTCCACTTCCCTACTCGGAACAAGGAGAGGTGTGTGACTTCTGATGCAGGTCACAAAAGCCTCCGCACAAATCAGCGGTGGTACCTGTCCAGTTACTCTCAGTCCCTGTGTGTTGGCAGCTCTGAGCCTAAAGCTCAAGCCTGGCTGCAGTGCAGCAGCCACAGAGGAGCCAACACAGGAGGACAGAGATACAGAGAAACACCCAGGAATCCCTGAGTGCGACCGACCCCCAGCTGAAGCTGCTGATGCTGTAAAATGAAGAAAAGTCATTTCTTATGCTGGCTCCAAAATTCTGACCTACAGGAGCCAACACATAACCATTTGCATATGGCTTTTGAGTTATCTATTATCTGTTACTAACTGTAATATAGAAAGTTAAAAGTATTTTATATTTGCTACAAGTCTCCTACAATGCAATATACCAAAAACAAAGAACTATATGTAATTTTAGAAAAGAAAAGAAGATCATAGAAGTGTCAGTACAAAGTCTAATGCCACACGCCTGGGAATACAATACCATCAGTGGTAAAGAGCTTTGCCTAGGATGTTCCATAAGGTTGGGTTCCCAGCAGCAGGGAGAATGAACAAAAGTTCATCAGCAAATGTTTCAATTTTAAGGAGGACTTTCTAAGTATGACACAAATCCCAGAAGCTACATGTGGAGTGAACTTACACATGTAAGTAGAGGCTTCCCCAGCTCTCTGGACTGATGCTGAGAATCCAAACTCAGGCCCTAAGGCTACACAGCAAATACTGGACTCACTAAGTCTTCTCCCCAGCTCCCACATTCTGCTATTTAGTTTCTAAATTGCTTAAATTTGTTATTAGAATTATATTGTTAATTTTATAATTTGAGGGGAAAAACAATGAAAACCAATTTTATTTCTCAAACTGGCATACTTCAAAAGTAATATTCCAAAGTTGGGTGTGATAAATACACTAGAATCCCAGTACCCACCAGGTGGCGTGAGGCTCTGGGCCAGTCAAGGCGACACAGTGAGACCTTGTCTCAAAAGATCAAAATAAACAAAAATCAAAAGTAAAAAAATAAAAACACTATCCCAGGTTTATCAATGTCACAAAGTCAATCAGACACCAATGACAGAACAATACAGACACAACCTCTACTGAACACACTTGTAAAATGTTTCAAATCATTTAAGGCACAGCTATATTCAATTGTTTGTACAATAACAAAAACTTAACAGATGTTGAAAA